ATCATATGTCACCAATGTTCATTCTGATCCAACCATCAGATGAGGAACTCTAATAGATACAGCTGTTCACTGAAACCTCCAGTTTGCCATAAAAGTACATGTGTCATTATGACTAACTTCTTGTTCTGTCCAAGGGACTCAAATGCCATATATATTACCACAAACAGCTGTGTTAATTAGCAAAAAAAATGCATTGTAACATACAGGAAATATTTCTATGTGATATATATTGTATATGTATATGCAAGAGAGCAGATGAAAAGTGTCATATGAGTTCTTGTGTTTTATGTCTTCATCTAGAGGGTGCAAATTAGAACATACCTTGGATACCTGACCACACCATGGGATTTAGAAATACTTTTCATTCATTAGAAAGAATAAATTTAAATGACAGACACATTCCAGGACCGAGGTGAAAAATATTAAGGACTCTTGAATGACACATCTTTTATTCCTGACGTTTGACATGCAATGAAAGACAAATTGTATGACTATGAACAAAGCAAATTGTTTTGGACTCGCAAATATTTCTTGTCCAATGAGACCACCTGTATTGTGAATGGATAATTACTGTACCATAATTGAGAATATAAGGACGTTTATCATGATGTTTCAATGAAAAGTGAAAGATGAGAACCTGACAAAATTCGCTCACTTTTCAATGTAAAAGGAAGCCATAGGGGTAATAATGAGCAGCAGCAGCTATAGAAATGTATGCAGCCAAGGGATTTGCTAATCTGCACATGAAAAGGAGCCTCCATGATTTGCACAGTATGTTTTCCATCTATTCGGTCTGTTGCTGAGTGTCACTTTTATGGTATTTAAATAGGCAAAACTGAGAAAAGTAGTGTGAATTGGGGAGGAGACAGGATATATATTTACCTCACCCCATCACACATTGGTCTATTAACTTTACAGCTGTCTTGGAATTTTTTTTACAGAGTTTTATTCTATAAACTACTCGGATAGAAAGGATAAAGGCAAAAGATCTAAGACGACTGGAGTCATGCGTAGGTACATGTACCAGTAAGATCACCTACATCTGATGATACTAGTAGTGCTTGTGGAAGTGGATTTAATCTCCAAGTAGATCCTATGGTGGCAAAACAGTATCCATTGGCCAAGGAGTGACCATTATGGTTGCTTTCGGTCACTCTTTGGCCAATGGATAGTATACTGCCTTGCCACCATGAGATTAGTTGTTGCACTTTCTCTGGTAGATTTACAAGCAAATACCTTTATGGTACTGGTCTGTTTTTGATTGGATTAAGTGATTAACAGCCACAACAGGTACGGATGGCATGGCAAAATCCCTCAATCCTAAAAGCCGCTGCAGTTTAGGTTATAACAGTGTTTGCACAAGGAGCTCAGTTTGTATAACTCTGACCAGGCAAGTGGTTACTATGGAGATATGAGAACAAAAGAATGATGGAGAACAATGAATCTGCAGCTAACAATGCACAAAACAGGCTTCAGGTCCCCACTCATGTGTCACCATGTGATGGAAATGTCCTTTGAGACCAGGGAACCAAGCTCCAGGGCAGGGAGGTTCACAAAAGAGACCCAGTCTGTTACTGTAATGGCAGAAACTTTTGCAGTAGTTTTAGATTTGCAGTAATCTCTCCACATAAAAATCATAGCACCATGAATGTTTGAGTTATAGTTCTATGCAGATCTACTACAGAATTGTTTCTGCCAACTTCTAAAACAGCAAAACCTTCCTACCACAAAATACGACCAGTGCAAAGGTAAATACATTTACAGTACTGGGCAATATGTAGTGATGATGAGGGGGTTGGCTTTTGGGGTTTCATCTAATTGACTACATCTGAAGGCATGCAAAATGATTATGTATGCTTATTTTGAATCAGCAAAAAGGTAGAAAAATTTGAAAACAATACAAAAAGGGTCAGAAAAAAGTCCATTCAAGAACACGAAAACTGTTATAGTTGCCTCAGTGACATACATGTATAACGTCCTTGGTTTCTCTATGCACATAAAAATAGCGTACTTTTTCCCCATACATATTCATTATGTATTGTTGAAGTCAATCAGAGCTGTTGGAATGTATACTGTACAGTATTGGTCATGCGTATGGTTTTATTCATGAGCCCAAGCAGATTGTATTGGGGAGATCACAATGAAATGTTGTTTGACTTTTGCATGTTACCGGAAGAATGACTGACATTTTGTGCAATTTCCTACTTTTTGTACAATATCCCCAAACTATTGCTGAAATTTCCGTTTAGGATGCAAGAAAATGTGACTGACACTGTAATTAACATATGGTACTAAATCAGTACAGGTGGGCTGGCTAATCATAACAATCAGGTAGTTGTCGTGTGTGCGCTTGTTGTCTTCAGGGGTGTAAACGAGTCCATTCCTTGGAAAATTGTTAGCATAATCTCCATTACCTGAGGCAGTGTTGTTGTTTTTTTTCGGGATGACATGGCATGGTCCCTGACAGTGCTTGTCTTCACATTGTTGAATCCTTTGAACATCTGTGAACATATGCTTCAGGTTTTTACGCTTTTTTTCAGGTTTAGGATCCTTTGACAAGTTAGAATGCAATGTAACCACTTGGGTATAGTGGTAAGGAACAACTTATGTCCTGTGTAGTTTTTGGCAGGGTTTATTTCCCAGGTGTAAAGTTTGGGAATTTGCTACATGAGCGGAAACAGTCGGAATCTGTCCTACAGAGATTGGTGGAATTGCTGAGTAAGAGGGTGGGGCTAAAGTCAGCTGACAGTGAATGATGTGAGACAAAATATTTTTCTTTCCAAAAGTTAAACTAGCATTCATTGTCTAGAGATCATAGACATTATTAAGTTTATATAGAGGTTACAGAGATTTTTTAGTCTTGTCAAAGATCAAAACTTCTTTCCACAATTATCCATCTGGAAACAAATCCTTGAAAGATTATCCACCCTTTGGAGACTTCTAAGTCATTAAGTTGACTGATAACTGGTTTAACTTGCTGTCAGCAGGTACAAACATACAATTGACACCTGTCACATGGCCAGGGTATTATCTTTAACCTGTTGGGGTTGTTGGAGGTCTGTTGATTTTTATCCCTGGATTTGTGATACTGCACAGAGAAATCCTCCCCTCTGGGTCTTGTCAGTGTGGAGACCTTTGACCCCAATGGCAGCCAGGCATTGACACCTGTCATGTATTTAGGTTAAAGCAAGAAACACTCTCTTTTTGTGTCACTATCTATGTGGTGAACAGAGGTTTAGAAGTTTGAAGTTTTGTTTCTAGTGGATCCAAAGGTTTGGGGTTCGAATCCCAGCATAAGAATCTGTGTTCTGAAAGTTCAAACCCTGGTTTCCCACCGGAAGAGGCCGCAGCTCTTTGTTTAATTACATTTACACGGCAGTACTCAACACTTCCCAACATCTTGAAACATGTGAAAACTGTTAACCTGATAGGTCCGAACTTCCCTGCAAACATAGCTACAGCAGACTTTGTGTGGAAAACAGAAAATGCAGCTACATCTGCCCCCAGGTTCAATTGAAATGTTTATGGACCAAGCCATGGTCATTACTGCTTTGTACACAGTTGATACAATAATATTGATGTATTGAAACAGCCTTTAGACGTTTACAAAATTCCAGTTGTCTGTGGAGGATACAAAACTTAAAGTCCAGCTTAAATTGGTATAGAAACTAGTGTTTTTATTTAACACATGGAGTGATGATAATGATGGAAAAGGTGTTTAATAGTCAATAGTTTTATAGTGACACTCTCTCACCAGATGATGATGATAGTCAGTCCATTGTCAACTCACATGTGTGAGAAGAGTTTAAGAGATTTATGAAGTTGAAATTCTCTCCCTCATGAAAACTTTGAAACTGTATACACATGTACATGTAATCTTAAGCTTTAGATTTCATTTGAGAAATTTCTTGTCAGTGGAACCAATGCACCTGGCTACTGTAAATTGTGAAACTTTTGCAGTGTTTTATTTTTTCTTCACAGTGACTCCCTCGCTGCCTGGCACCATCCTCTGTAGGAACCACTGACTCTGTCATACGGACCCAGCAACAAGAAAGAGCCAGCGGTAACTAACTACAGAGGATGGTATCCAGGCTACCTTGGGCCTTAGGTGATTGAACTCTTTGGAGGTAGATGTTACCCCCTGTGATGAAATGGAATGTCCCTAGCAACCAGATATTTTGGCAATAATCTTTTGTGGCCCCTCTCACCTGACCTGGCCAGAAAATTGATACCTCTCGCTGTTTGTTTGTTCTTTTGTTTATGTTCAAACCTCATGAGGGGAGAAATAGTTGGTAGAAATAATGATTGAATGGTTGGATGCTGTTTGCAAAACAGGAGTTTGAGTACCGGCTCCATGAGTTGTCTTGCGGTGTACCTGTCTCTGTGAACCCTGAGGGCTGAGGGACTTTCATAACTACTCATTAACCAAATCCAAACTGTGCAGTAGTTAGCCTAGTTACCATCCTCAGAAGTAAAGTCAGCGTAAACTCACCAGGTTGGTACCTGGGACTGCACTATATCATATATGTTTTGGTTGTTTGGTTGGTCTATGCTCTTTTTTTGGTTCTGGATAAGCCTTGGCCTCGACAAGGACACTATACTAAAGATATAACATCCTTGGCCTAAGGAGTAAGCAATCATCTTTTGGGAATGATCTGGTTCTAGATCAAGGAAAGCTTGAAAGTGTACTCAAAGAATGGAGAGACTGCAAAAATTGGCAGGATTTGCGCTCTCCAATGATTTTCAACAGTTTAGCATAATTCATTCTCAGACTGGCATACATAATGACATATCTGTACTTTTCTGATTGACTACCATAAATTTTTAATTGTACCCCCTGCAGTGATAAATGTGGATCAATCAGTCATGAAATGACATGTTTTTCTGTGAAAAGGTGTTGCCTTGTTCTTATCCAACAAGTTTTTCAAGTCAACTACTACGAGCCTTATAAGTAAGAAATAACCAATCATGGTACTTCAAAAATGGTGACGAGGCATTCCTATTGTACCAGTAATGGCCTTTATTCAAAATTACATACAATGCAGCAGTACAAAGAAAAGCACAAAACTATATGTCGCTAGCTTGCCGTTGTGGTGTGAATTTCAAACACTCTAATCAGTGAAATGGTAGTTAACGAGAGAAAGACCCCATCCCTAATGTACACAGGAATATCCCACTTGCTTAGGCAAATCCAAACGGTCAACTAGAAGGCGTATTTACACATTAGACAGTATCTTTATACACTTTCACATTCAGTCAACATATACGTTGCACCACCTATGTCTTGGATAAAACACACAGTATTCAAATACTCTACTAATGAAATCGGAATGTTTCTGGAATATACATGACAACTTTTTTTCCCTTCAGCCGGGCCAGTAGAGTGAATAAAAAATGTGGCATAACCATTTGTTAAGTCGTTTGTGTGCTGGGAGTGCTGAGTTGCCACGCTACTGTGCTGAACAAATATGCGGACATGAGCAAATTTGCTCGGCCGCACTTTCACACACATCTGATGGTGAGAAGTCGACTTCTGAACTTTATCGAGAGAAATCCAGAATTAGATCAGACAAACACCGATATATTTTCAGCTGACTGTCATTTTCAAAAGTCTGTCAAAATGTAGCGATTGGTCATTTGTCATGATGTCTTAACATTCAGGTTACAATGAGGGTAAAAAGAGAAAGTCTCTTTTAAACCTCTTTGATCATAGTCTGGAGACACTACACAAATAAGATGACATCAAAAATAGTACATATGTTGAGAGAGCAGTTAGACTTTTCTACATGTTTGACATAGTCTTGTGCAAGGCTCTACTTTTGACACATATGAGGCATCAGCAATATTATACATGAGCTTAGGCTAAAGATATACGGATGACTCTGGGTGTGCTGTCTGAATTCACTTTAATATGATCATATTCTACTTTTCCATCTATAGACGAAAAGTTGCATGTAGAATTCTAATCCATAGTTCACTGCTGACTCTTTGAGAAGACATTTCATTTCAGCACAGATTTTGTAATCAAGCAGCTAAAATACATGCATTCTACTGATGGGTTCAACAAGTTTCATTGATCTGAAGGAGATGTATACTGTAAGTCTTGTAGACTTGTAGGGTAGCTGAAATTGGAATAAAGTAATAAACTATAATAGAGCTGAGAAAAGACAACTTTTGGTACAGGATACACAAGGTCTATCCCCATTTGAGGTATGAATTGTGAGAATTGCATCTATCTTCTTAAAGAACACGAGATAGCGACAAAAGTGTGAGACTTGGTGGTGAAACTCAGTGCTGTCAAAGCATCATCTGACAAACAGAAGTTAGTCAATTCCATTTGTCATGACCTCATCTCTCACTTTTCTCCCAATTGTCTCTACCAGGAAATGAACAGAAGCTTGTACAGGACTTAATCTACACCAGTGTCAACAGCAGGACTGTGTGAGCGGGACTTTAGTTCAGCATGCAGGACTCGTACGTGGGGACCATGTACTTGATGTTGATGAAGGCATCCTCCCCGCCGTGCCGCTCGAAGGCCTCTAGCGTCTCCTGGATCAGGTCTCCGATGTTTTCCCGCTTCTGTTGGCTGTAGTCGATGCCGTCTCCAGAGTTCACTGGCAAAATAAACGAAAACACAATTGTTACTTTTGTCAGAATTCATAAAGGCACAAAGGTAAATCTTACATATGGAAGTATTCTTTTGGGTTTGTGTATCTGTTTGTTTGGACAGAGTAGGTTGACAGCACATGGGTAGGCAGGAGAAGATTGGTAGGCAGAATTGCAGGTCAAAAGTTTCAGACTGTGACTGGGGAGCCAGAGGTTTGCATACTTCCCAGAGGTCTAAAATGTCTGATTTCTTGTTGTAGAAAAAGGCTTTGAACTACATGTATGGAAAATTGCTGAACAATAAATACAGAGTTTGAGTTTCTTGCTATGAGCAAAAAAACACTGAATACCAGACATGTGACCATATAAATGTACGGCAATGAGTCAAATTGGCATGATTTGGGAGGTGTTAACTGCCCTGCAACCTTTCAATCCAGGCAACTGATTGATGGAGTTATCAATCAATAAATTACAGGTAGAGCTGCTAGCCTTATGACAATTCCCAGTGCTGGAGTCAAGCAAACTTTAGCTGCCAGACCATGTTGATGAATGCCTCCCCTTCAGGGATAGAGAGGGATATATACAGGCAGAGTAATTTCCACCCAGGCAGGGAGTGACTGCCGAAATTGTCCCCACATTTAACCGGCTCACTTCTAATTTCATCAGCGCCGTTTATTGCTGGCTATAAAAAATGAACCTGTGGGGACCTCGTCAGCTCGCAGTGGCTTGAGCTCATCAGAACTGGCTCGACTAATCAAGCCCTACACCACCAGAGGCCTTTCCACATCATCCCCGACCAACTTTAATTGAATTTAGTGGTCAGAGGGTAGCAGAATGTGACCTACGACCCTTCTATATCCATCCCCAAACCCCCATGGTCCCCAGCTACTGCATTTGTGTAATGACTTGGCAACTGTTGCTCATGATGTCCTAAATTTCTCGCTTTGCCCAGTCGCAAACGTGCAGACATTTGCGGACTTTATTTGAAGACATAATATTTGTTATGAGAAACTGGAATAGAATGTGGGTAACATTACAGCCATAGGCAGGCTGTCATCATTAATCATTAGAGGCAGGTTTGTTTCAATTTAACCTTCCTCTGGCCATTCTAATTCATTCGCTTGGTTTGCAGTAAAGAAGACTAAAACTTGGCCAACTTACAAGTACCACCCCCAGTATACACAATGACGAAATAATGTTATATCAGAATCAGTTTCAAAACCAAGAAAGCATTGTTTCAAACTGTAACCTAAGAAATACCATACATTTCCACATGTTAACTACTGTTCTGACATTGGTCCATGTCACAGTCTGTACTCCTCAAGTGTTAGCCATAATTTTTCTCTGTCAAACAACGCCTTGTCACCTTATTCCCAACGGGACAGTAGGCACGTTTAGACATCATGTCTATAGCCTGGAGGGCAGAGTTAACATTCTGTGGCTCAACTTGGTAGAAGTAGAACTACCAGACATATGTCAATGCTATGCTAAGACCTCTGCAAAGGCCTGCCTGCACTTGCGACTTCCAAATAAAGTCATGGCCACCAAGACAGGCATGACCTCCTTCGGGCAAACACAGGAGACTTGTGCCATCAGATTTTTTTCAAGGGCCCGCAGATGCTTATTAGGGCACGTCTACTTTCCTAAATATCTAAAACCGACATTGCCTTCATTTCTAAAGTACTATGTATGGGAGAAATTTTTGAAGATACTACAATGCAATTTAAGACAATAAATTAAACTAGAAAATAAAAAAAAACATATATGATAATGTCAGACCATTTTTGAAACAAGTGTTGCTTGAAAAGGTTTCTTGGTCTTGTTCTTCAAGTCCATATTGTTGTCACTGTAATTATTAGGCAATGGACCCCCTGTTATTTGTAAACTATAGCAGCTTGACAAGCCACTTTCGCACTTCTAGCCAAATGAATCTGGTTGCTTGAAGCTTGGATCAGGCTCATTTCTCTCCAATTCTTGTTCAGTTCTCCCTGTTGGCTTTCATGCCAGGGGAACAAAACCTGCGTTTGTCGAAAGTCGGGAAATTATTCATGAGTCCCGTTTGTTTGGTGATTTTCCTGAAAAGTCACAAGAAGTCAGTATTGTTCCGATGGAACACAACACCCCATTGAGACTTTCTCTTTCTGTTCAGAACTGAATAGAACAACATAGAAGGGCTCCCTGGGAGTCAAACTAAAGTTGGTGTACAAACAAATGGCATTCTAGAACTGCAGTGATTTCTTGCTATTATAAGATCTGTAATCGTGCGTGTAATTTTCCAATGTCAATGTATTTATCCATGTCCAAGAAAAAGTGCTGGCAAACAACTTTTCTACAACTTCAGCAGAGCCCTTTATAACTCTTTGCTAGACACACACTGGAAGCTCCTGCCATATTTTCTATATGGATAATACTGGTGCTATGCATTGAAACAAAAAAGGAATGTTAAGTACAACAATATGATTGCCGTCACATAAACATGAACTGACACCCAAACATACACACTTTCCACACGTGTGCTTAACCCTACTTTTTGATGTGACAGAAATAAACTAACACGATCTCGCTGCAAAGATTCTTCAAGAGTCCAATAAGCCCATCTTAGGATAATGTTACCATGGAAACCATGGTTGCTAGGCAACGGGGAGATGGATTGTCTGCACTGCCTAGGAAAAGAAAAGTTTATCTAGGGGCAAATGTGATGCATTAGCCCAACAGTTGGGGATGGTCAAGCTCAGGCCCCTGACCCTGGAGTTCTGTGTTTCCCAAACGTGCCTGCAGCTAATCTGCTCTACCCAATAGCAGGAATAACAGGGGAGTCTGGGATGTTTGTTGTTTGTGTGCTTGCTGAACTGCTAAATCACTGGCCAGTGACTCTATCTTAGCCTGGTGAGGAATTCAGGCTGTTGTAGTAGTAAGTTTTGGCAAAGGATTTGTTGAAGGTCACGTGTGCCACATGTTTGAACTTGACTCGTACAAGTAAACATTACAAGTGATGTAGATAAGGAAATGTCCACGCTTATTTTAGACCTCGTTAACTAAATCATTGAACATCATCTGTGATTTCAAAAAGATGCTTCCACCTTGCAAATTATTCAGCTTAGAGTAGATAACTTCTCTAACTCTGTTGCTGGTTGCATGTATAATTTTACCCAATTTGCATGTCATGTCTTGCCAACAGAGGTACAAATAATGTTCAAAAGACAGACAATGTGATATTCAAGCAACAGTACATACCCAGCTTGTGTATTTTTCAATTATTTAGTTAGTAGAAATACCAGTTTTTGATCATTTAAATAGTTCATAACCATTCAAACTACATAATCATGTCCCTTAAGTGAAGTCACAATGGACAGTATTATGATATGATCCCTACATAACAGGTTGTGTGACCTCTTTGGCCAAGGTCAACTGAGGTTAAATAGCTAGATTAGGGTGAGCACATGTCTTACTGGACATGATATGAAATGTATTGTAAACAAGTCAGATTTTAGAACCATCAATGACTTTTCAACAACTCGGTTGACGAATGCCTCCAGCTGGATCAACATGGTCGTAACAAATACAAACAGCATGCAGACTTTAGAAAGAAAGTTTTCAAAAGCCGTATAGGATTAAGTACATACTGTTTTTCAACTTCATTTTAGGCATGTAGTCTATTGGCTGCAATAGGTAGTGTTGGTGTTTGAAGATGCCAGTTTGAAACGAATGCAAGTAAGCTTAATGTGTAGAATTATCATTTATCGATCCAGGTTTAATATCAAGTTGAACTTATATTCTTTACATCACATCTCCATCCCATATTGCAAGTGCCTTTTCTTTTTCTTTAAACGACTTGTATCAAATAATGAATCTTAGTCTCTTGGGGTACCATAGCGTGCAATCAGCACTAGGAAGCAACATATAATTCATTCCGAGGCAATTGTATACACATACTTGTGGTAATAAATGGCTTCTAGTGTTCAAATATGTCTTCAAAATAATAAACATCAAGATATTATGTGTCTATTTTTAAGAAAGGGTAGAGAGGACTGCTCTTGATGAGGGTCTGCATGCCTTTTTCCGTGAGGTGTTTTATCTTGTAAATTTACTGTGAAGTGTTGCCGGCCCTCCTAAATTTACCATTGAGTGTTGTCAGGATCCCCCCATGCAGATCCTCATGCAGGAATATTGGCTGGCTGTGTGGTCTTCCAGGAGTCAAAACACTTCCAATTTATAGACATGGTAGTGCTTCATATGTCATAGCAAGAAATACTTTGTATGCCAGCTGCACTTTTTGTTTTGAATCCTTTGCCCTTTATGATTTGAATGAAACATGAGCTATAGTTTTTGAATAGGTCCTGTTGATCAATATTCTTTGAGATTGAAATGCTAAGGACTGGCACAATATTTTCTGTGCAACTTTTGCAATGAACTCTTGTAAAGATTTTATAGAGTACATGTAAATCTTTTTAAAGAGACAAAAATAGTTTGGCTATTATGGATGTCCTCTATGCTCTTTAAAAGTTGTCAAATTTCAAAGTTTTCAAAGAATTTGATGTAACTTTTCATGTTTTTGAGTGAAGATGCAGAATTTGCTGTTTGTTCTTTCCTGTATTACAGTTCATATTTTTAAAGATGCATAAAATTTAATGTTTGATCTTTCTTCTGTACTTACAGTTCATGTTTTTGAAGATGTTGAGGATGGGCAGGATCTGTCTGTAGTACGGGACCAGCGCCTCTCCCACCATCTCACCCGACACCACCAGGTGCTGCAGGACCTTCAGCGTCGTACACACCACCTGTCTGTTCCTTGTGTTTAGCGCATCTGTAAACAACAACAAGTAAACAACAACATCAGACCTGTGATGTACATACCTAGTTATTTCCTACCTTTGGTACTTCTATATAGTAGATAAAACACCATTAGATTCTCTAATGCACCCAAACTCTTTCTAAAAATTCTAGCATATTAAAGTAATATCTCGGGCATGTACCTGTAAACAAAAAAAGTCTCTACCTGTAAACAAAAAAAGTCTCTGGAATTAATCATACCTGTAAACAAAAAAGTCAAACATGCTAGAACTACACTCCACTGCAGCTGTGAAAAATAGCCTGGTACATATCAACTAACTGAGGTAAAAGTCATAGCAATGGTCTCCTAACTTGTTCATTGTCTTGGATGATAACTCTTATTAACTTCTCATATTCCGATGAAAGGTCTTTTACAGAAAATTGCTGTCATAGTTATCTATTTCACTTACCCTAAGTTTAAAAAGCACCTGTTAAGATCTATAAAGTTATTACTGCTATGAGGGGGTTTAATTTGATTCATGGCATCTTTGAAGTGTCAGAAATGAATTGGCTACAACAGGCCCAATCCACCTCCCGTCACCTGCCCATTCCTCATCCCTCTGTCCAGTCTACCTTTGGTTGGAAATTACTGATTCTCCTCCCATGCCTCAATTTCCCCCGCGGGCCATTTTTCTCCCAGAGCCATCAGGTACCATATGGCCCCCCTCCCGCCCAGGTGTGATGCCTGACCCCACAGGCCCCAACACTTATCCATCATACATGGGCGCTGACGAAGGTGCCACTGTTATTGATTACTTCCAGGACCAGGGCTCGAAATATCACCTGCGTGTTCAGGTTCAAAGTTCCATCCCACACCTAGGCATACTGTAGGGTGGCGCCCATCTCCGTTTCTGTTGCCCTAGAGCCACACAGCTGTGCTACTACTACAGCATGTTGCTCCTATTAACCCTCTTGCCCTGTGTTGTCATGATGACAAATGTCTGCAATAAACCTGAAGAGAAAGTCAATCGTCTTTGGCTGAGTTAAAAGTTTTTGTCCCTAATACAATCAATATTACAAATGAAAAAAGTGCTAACCATCTAACTTTATATATGCAGGAATATATTTTGCGTTCATTTCCATACTAGGATAAAATGGGAAGAAATTGACAGACATCCTCTGCCAGCACAGAACACTCCCATCCCTGATATTGATGGTCCCACTAAGTGGTCTGCAGGAAATGGGGACTTGTCCCATTTGTCTCTGCTGCTGGATTACCCACCAATCAATGACCTGCCTGTCCTAATGTCATTATTTCCTCGACATGTCAAGAGTCTGGTGAATGCAAAGGCCAAGAAGTCTCTTTCTTTCCACTTTCTTCAAAAATGAAACAAATCTTTGTAATGACTTTCTGCAATGATTTGTTAATAAGAAATCTATTCTAATTCTGACCTAATATCATTATTTGCTTGACATGGCAAGAGGCTTGTGAACCTGAAGGCCAAGAAGTCTTCTTTATCTTCTGTTTCCCCCAGGAATAAAACAAAGCTTTAATATGATTTTCTGCACTGTAAGCTCAAAACTTGGTCATAAATGTACAATAGAATGGATGAGTATATAGAGTCCTGAATACAATGTATGTAGGCCAATAATTTTTTTCCTGCTTTCTTTAAGAATGAAACAAAATTTGTAATGATTCACTCTACTAATTGCTCTCAAGAATTCTGTTTAGAACAAGTTCCAAGCGAATATACAATAACGTAGATGACTATAGAGGCTAAAGTCCCTCTCAAAATTCTAGTTTAAAGTCAAGTTCACTGCTATCTTGGAGATCGCTACATTTGTACCTTGCTATAATGAGACTAGATAGCAATCTTGCCTAAACAAGGCAAGGTAGCAGTCTTATGCTGATAATGTCAAAGTCAATGTACAGTGACCTCTGTTACCATTTTCACATCTCCAAAGAAATATCGGCATGCAAATAAAGTCTCATGGATCACAGAGAGAATGATTATAATTGCAAATTAAGGACTTAACGACGAAAGCTTTACTGAGAGGATTATTCTTCCTTAGCGCCGCTGGATTTGACAGTTTCTTCCCCGAGCTGAAAATCCTTCCACTTGTGGCACTTTAACTTCTCTGATGGCGGAATCCTTTTTTGGCAAGATTTACGGTCATTGATTTCCGCAAGTTCTTTTATAGGATCATTAAAAGGTTACAAGCTGTAGGGGTGTCGGTTGCGATGCCTCGAGCATTGTTTAACAGTGAGGCTAGGCCAAGTTCATCAACATGGAGTCATCATTTCCTCATTATTGCTTTATCAATCATAAATGCTATCATCAGAAAACACTTTCCTAGATTAGAAGACTGTGTGGAAACCATACCTGGCCACATTTCCATTCTTGCAACCAAAAATTGAAAGCTCCTTGTTACAACTACGTTAAGAATGCACACTCTTGACTGTGGACGCATAAATCGAACAATGTGGAAATGAAAATGTTTTAAAGATATGGTGGTTACATTGCAGCATCATTGTAAATCTAGTGACAACATTTTCTTTTGTGTGACTTTACCCAAGGAATACATTGATTGCGCCTTGCTTGCAGTAACTTCCGCTAATGTCTGGATCATGAATCGCAGTCGTGACAAATGACTGAGCAAACTGTTCATCTGCCTTACTCCGACAGGTCGGGATCTACTTGTCACATAAATTAGAGTCAGACCAGGATATCTCTAATGAGATTTCTGAGATGCTTAACCTGTTCTTGTGACTACTTGTGCTGCTTGGGTGCTTCCCATGCTGATCATGATAGCGTGTGTCTGTGTGAAATACTTTTCAAGGCAGGTTGCACCCTGGGTAACCAAAATAAAGCTTAGGTTGATGAGTGCTGATTCAAGTTCATACGGTGAGCATTAATTTTATCCCTACTGATGACATTTTGTTTGTTTGTTTGTTTGTTTCTTTTTTTGCTTTAGCTAATGATGAGAGTCCAATCACTACCAAGATAAACTGGTTTCTAAAGAGGTTAACATATCAATTATAATAGCAGAGAGCCCTGGTCACATTTGTCATGTAATGATTGGTATGATTGCAAACTGAGAACATTCTTGGGACAGCCGTGCACGCTTCATACAAATTTCAACTGTCTTGTTACCGAAAAGACTTATAACATTGTCGACTGTTCGTATTGTCACAACCTTAGTGGAAATCTCCGAACATCGAAATCATATGAGGACCTTTGAGGAATGTGACCGCACCATAAGTTAAAATGTGGTGCTAGAAGAATTAACGACCTGCGAAACAAATCCTTACAAGTTTTTCACTGTCCCTGAATGATTAAGACCCGGTTTACACGACGACAAAAACCTGGCGTACGATAATGGCGTACGCACGCGATCGTACGTCCGTTTCGGTTTACACGGAGCGGGACGGACAGCGCCGGGACTCCCGCAGCGCTCCACACTATCGTGACCCCATTTGACCCGCCGCGAGCTTTGACATAGCGCTATTTTCAAAATGGCGGGAGAACAGGCTCTTTTTCTGTTCTTCATGCGTCAGATGTTGCTATTCTTCTTTTCGCGGATGTACTTGCGTCGCCGGGCATTGCGTAGAAGAAGGGTTGGACGTCGCAGGGAGCGGTACCATGAGATCCAACGGGCAGCAATTTTTGCAGTCATTGCAATCATTCAAGCTCAAGGCGGGATCGATCGGTCAGTGTGGGAACGTGACAGTTAGAGCTATTGCGCACTTCTGCCATGGTCAGTTGCGGCAGTCGCGAGCAAACAGGCTCAGCAAAACAACAAACAAATCAAATACGATAAAAAACAAAGGAAAACCGAAACGGATCAGAGAAAACGGAGTAAAGATCAGTAACACGGCATGGGTTTTCACAGGCGCGGGAAGAAGAATGGAATTTGCATATGACCCCTGACCTCCTGCAACAGGGAAGTGCTTGCGAACGCCGTTCGTACGATCAGTCGCGTTTACACGAGGCGGGGAGGCATCCTGACTCCCCGCTGGGCGATCGTACACGATCGTACGCCTGCCTTCGAGGTGGCGTACGCAAATTGCGTACGATAGGTGCGTACGATAGGTGGGGCCGGTTTACACGCTGGAAAAAATGGTCGTACGCAATTGTCGTACGATCGCGTGCGTACGCCATTATCGTACGCCAGGTTTTTGTCGTCGTGTAAACCGGGTCTAAGTTGGTGCCCTCTGAGCCATTTGACAAGTTGGAATAAAACACTTCTTTAATTTCCTCCCCCAGAAAAAGTAATTTCAATGTTCATTTCCACTCCTCCTCACATGGTTCTAAGCTTGTCTTCAACATAACCCTGCCCCACTTATAACTCTGAAAATCACTGGCTGTTCTTTCTGTTAGAAAGTGGTTTTGATAGCAGCTGATGTGAACACGTGTACATCTGCTATACACCTGTTTCTACTTTTTCTTCTCCCAAAGGCTGAGAGTAGCCTTGACCATGTAAAGTAGAACATCCAGTACGAAGGTCAGTCACAATAATGGGGTAGTTTTTGGTCATCTTCTGGCAGAAAAACACAACAGGGCATTACCTTTTCTTTTCCTTTTAGATTGTACATTTGTCCTCAAGCTAGAGCTATACATGTACTTGACTCCAACAAGAATGACACTCTAAGAAGTTAGCCTTAAGTTCCAAGGAACCTATTTTTCATGCCTGAGTTACACACTTAAGATACATGGCTGTTTCCT